CGTTCAGGGAAACAGATGCTAGCAAGAACAGAGGCAACAGGCTGAGGCCCTAACCAGACACCCACAGCAGAGACCCATGGACAGAAATCATCTGCAGGCCTCTATGATCTCCAGTGAGGACAGCACTCCTCACAGCTGGTCATGGCAAAGGCTCTGCACATCGCTATCATTGAAATATATCCAACTACTGCTCCAAAGCTGCTTTTTCAGGCATTGCCACCTGGAAACTGGCCTCCTCCATCAACAAGCAGACCTGCTTGAGGGCTGTCTGATGGGCTGCTAGCAGGCAGGATGAACAGGGGCAATAAATTAGAGCACAAGATGGCAGAAAACTGCTTACTCAGGGAACTGTGTTGCATGACATTACTTGTCCCCCCCAGTCAGACAGCACAAACACAGACTGCAGGCATCTTGTGCCTCCTACCTTGGCTGTCTTCAGAGCCATTCTCCTCTGCTAGCAACCGGTCGAGGTGCTCCTGCAGGTTCTGGAACGTCAGGTGCTTTCTAGGGAATAAACACAGGAGCACTTCAGAAAGCTCTGCCTTCAAGTTTTAAAGCGTTTCAGTCCGGACACGTGTCAGCATGTGGTCGTGTTGACACATGAACCAGGAAGCTCTGTCGATCTGAGTTTCTTGTCATGGATCTGAGGAATTTGCTGACCAGCATGCCGGTGCGATGGACGAACCAAGAACCAAACAGGTGCGAACAAATGAAGCAGTTAACAGAGGATCCTTCAGTCTTCAGCCTGCTAAGGAGTATTTTGCCAGCCTGTACTTGCAATAAGTAAAGGCTGGGGCATTGCTGAGGCTGGCATCATACAAACACAGCACAGGACAGGATTTAGTTCTTTTCCCAAGTACTTCATAATACAAAACCAGAAAGAAGATTGTATCAGCAGCTGTAGCAGCTCAGACAGAGGTCAAGCTCGCCCAGCATCATCGCCATGAGAACAGCCAAAAACATTCTGTCTTCACACTTTGTGTAATAAAGTAAAATGCCTCGCCAACACCCTCCAGCCTACCACTGCAGAGACCTTCCACACAGACCCTCTCAGTTCTCTCGTCTTGAGATTGGCTCACTTAGTTATTCCTCGTACAGCAGACCTTCCAGACTTGTGGCTGTTGCTCTTACCCTTCTTCTCCGCAGCTCCAAGATAGCCTTTTGGAGCTGGTGCAACCACAGCAAGCTAATCAAGATGAGGGTTGACCACAAATTCATTCTGTGGCATAATGACTTTCCTTTTCCAGAATCCCTTTGCTAACAATCATTTACTTTCCATCTGCTTTTTTTCCTAACTTACTGAAGAGTTCATCTCCCTCCTGTCTCATTCCTATGCAGCAGAAATCAGCCCAGACCCCACTACTTTATGTGTAAAGTTGGGGCTGCTCCCCTTTCACTACATCACTTTGTAATAGCAGCAAACTTTGTCATTTCATGCTCTTTTCCTTTTAAAACTTCCCAAAGATTAACAGAACAGCACTGCTTGTGTTGTGTTCGTGGCACCATCGTGATTTCCCTTTGTTACTGTGAGAATTGCTGGCTTTTCCTACCCTGGTTCCCATTTCCACTCATCTATGGAACAACCATTCCAATTCTTTGGGACCAGGCACTTTTTGAAGAAGTGGTGAGAGACGTTCTGAAAGTCCAATGGATGTGAAGATGCACAGAAGCGGAACCAAAGAAGCAGCTTTGGATTGGCAGGAGAGAGTGGCTTCAGCAAAGCAGCTGTATCAGCAGCTAGCATGGAGAAAGAGTGCAGGAAAGAGGCAGAAGAGCACGAGACAGATGGAGAGGAGACAGCCAGAGAGGTTTACAATGAGCTCCCCAAAAGACAACATAGCACACCATAGAAGTATTTTCGAGACCAATCTGACTGCTACTGGGCTTTCTACCAAGTCCAGGGAGAAGACTGGGAGGGAGCTGCAAACAGAGGGACCGATCCAACCAACTATCAGTTCTGTGCTTGCCAGGCAAAGAAGTCAGCAGTACTGACAAGCAAAACTGGAACACTGGGCACTGGAACAACCAAGGCATGTTGGCAGGAGAGCTTGTGGCCAAGTAACACAACCCACGTCGCCTCCCCCACAAGAACCTCAGCTCATCAAGCACACAGAGAACCCAGAGCTATTTTTAGCAGCCACAGGCTCACATTTGAGCTGGCACTACTAAGTATGGCTGCGGAACATGACCCCAGCCCACTCTGCAGCACTGCCCACCCAGCAGCAGCCACGCGCCTGCCTCTCTGCAACACATGGACCTGCTCTGCACCCAGCTGACTTGCCTCTGCCAAAACATTGAAATGCAAAGCACCTTCCTCTCATCCAAAGCTACAAGCTGCTGGACTACAAGGAGAAATGAAAGCAAAGAGATGGAAAAAGACACTGTACAGCAATTTTGTGTTCCTTTTCCTTTGGTGACTCCTAACAAGAAAAGGACTGACAGTTCCACTGCCTGAGAAGCATTTGGTCTTCAATGTACAAGTAGCAGCCTTGCATTCAATTTACTGGGCACTGATGACATACTTTTCACTAGCTAAAACCTGTGCATTTTGCACTTCTTCACAAGCAGAGAGGGAACAGGAATGAGAAGGGCAATGCATACCTGCCTATTTATTTCAGAAATATTGCCTCGTGACCTTCTATATGGGGTTTTACATGCAGGGCACTGATGCAGCATCGCTGCCATCTAGAGACTAAGAAGTCCCATACCTGTAAGCAGCTGCAGGCTGGTTCCCATCAGCACTGGAGAAGACCCGATGCAGATAGTCATTCAGTAGCCTGCTGTTCACAATCCCTTGTGGGAAAAAAAAAAAAGAGAGATAAAAAGAAGCTCAGAGAGTTAGAAATCAAAGCATTAACTTCGAGTACAAGCAACAAGGTTCACAGACCAACACAGGGGAAGACGGAGCTCCAAGAAGTTATTTACCTTCTCGCTCTCTTCACTAACAGCCCTACAGCCCAGCAACGTGGAGTGAGTGCATTTCTGCAAGAGGGGAGGCTACCAGTGGTTCTGGCTACCAGTGGTTCCCCAGGGGGAGACGACATCTTCAGGAGCCCTGCTTACTGCTGCCAGATAAAGTAACTTCACATTTGAAAGTGGGGATCCAATTTAAAAGCAAAACCAAACCCCCATAAACAAACACAAATAGTTCTGGTGTTACAATTCCTGATGTCCTGGAACATTTTAGGTTAACTGCACTAAAGATGCAGAGACAGGAAGGCTTGCAGACACAGATCACGGAATCATAGAATCACAAGGTTGGAAACAACCTATAAGATCATCCAGTCCAACCGTCTCCTCATCAGCATTGCCACCACAAGCACTAAACCATATCACACAGCACATCATCCAGATGCCTCTTGAACACTGCCAGGAAGGGCGACTCCACCACCTCCGTGGGCAGCCATTCCATTGCCTGACCACTCTCTGAGAGAAGAAGTTCTTCTTAGATCATCTAGACTAAACTCACAGCTCTCTTTAATCCTGTACACCTCACACCAGCTTTCACTGTGCAAAGCTATCCCTTGTGTCACAAAGCTCTGGATGCCACAGAGCCCTCAAATCCCACATCTGTGATCTTAATGCACGATTCTGATGGACTGGTCAGTCCAGGAGAAAATGGACTGCTTACCAGGTACCAACGTTTCCAAGGAAAAGACTGATCTCAGAACCTGAGAAGCCCCAGGTCAGATGGGACAAAGACAAGCAACACCATGCCCTCCAGCCTCTCATCGCTGAAGAAAGGGCACTGTGACCTGAGCTGCTGGTGGAGTCCTTCATAGGGCAGGAAAGGCCCTCCCAAAACCTCACCTCAGCTCAGAGATTTACTCACTTTCAGCCCCGCTATGCCTCTTGTCAGCAAGATAAGTGCAACTGGAACGCAGGTGATCTCAGGTGAGGCCTGGGCCGCTCACCCCGATCCACAGCGGTCCTGCTCATACAAAGCATGCTCAGCCCATACCTGCAACCTTGGACTTGTCTGGCCCAGTGCTCAGCCGGTAGTTCTTCCTTGACAGAGCCGTCCCAGCACCCCGTGAGGTCATTCTTCACAGGCACCAGCTCCAGAGCGGAGGTAAGACAGACACCTAGAACAGAACTTCTGGGGAGGATGCTGCCACCTGAGGACTTCCCCCTTTCTTGTGGGTTCATGCACCTGGAGTAAACAACTGGGTTAAGCCACAGAAGCCAAAGTGCCACCACTAATGCCACCACACAAGAGCCCAAAGCTGGTGACAGCTGCCAATCCTGCTCTCAGATCCACTTGTCCAACTGCCCAAAATCTTCCCAGGATTTTCCCAATCTTTCCCAAGATATGGATTTGAAGGGAGGACTCTTTAGTGGGTAAGGAAGTGGCTGGTTGGCAGCGTTATGTCCAGGTGGGAGCCGGTGACGAGCGGTGTCCCTCAGGGGGACCATCTTAAGACCAGTGCTCTTCAACATCATTGCCAATGACACATACAGTGTGATTAGCATGTCTTTGGATTACACCAACTTGGGTGGTGCAGCTGATAAAATGGAAGGAAAGGATACCATCCAGAGGGACCTGGACGAACTTGAGAAGTGGGCCCACGTGAACTCAACAAAGTTCAGTAAGTCTAAGGGCAAGGTGCTGTACTTGGCTTGGGGCAATACCAGATTTGTGAACAGACTGGGAGAATAGCTCTTTCAGAGCAGAAGGACTAAGAGAAGGACTTGGGGGGTCCTGATGGACAAAAAGTTCTGTATGAGCCAGCAGTGTGCACTCATAGCTTGGAAGGCCAACAGCATCCTGGGCTGCATCAGCAGCAGGGGGCAGCAGGCAGGGAGGGGATTGTTCCACCTCTGCTTTGCCCTCATGAGGCCCCACCTGGAGCACTGCGTCCAGGCCTGGGGGCCACAGTAAAGGAGGGCTGTGGGGCTGTGGGCCAGAGGAGGCCACGAAGATGCTCAGCGGGCTGGAACACCTCTCCTATGGAGACAGGCTGAGGGAGATGGGGGTGATCAGCACAGAGAAGAGAAGGCTCCAGGGAGACCTCACTGTGACCTTCCAGTACTTGAGGGGAGCTTTCATGTAGGAGGGAGAATGACTTCTTACACCGACTGATAGTAAAAGGTCAAGGGGTAACAATTTCAAACTAAAAGGGGAGATTTAGGTGAGATAGTAGGAAGAAATTCTTTGCTCAGTGGGCAGTGAAGCGCTGGCAGTGCTGTCCAGAGCTGTGGGTGCCATCCCTGGAGGTGCCCCAGGCCATGGAGGGGCCCTGGGCAGCCCAAGCTGGGGGGCAGCCAGACCATGGCAGGGGTGGGACTGGGGGCTGTAAGGTCCCTCTCAGTCAAACCATGCTGAGATTCTGCGACGCATCTTATACAGAGCGTGTAGCAAGTTGGTCTGAGACAAGTTAGGACCTTGGCAAGTGCCACGCGGAGTGACCAGCCAGGGACCCGAGCTTCTGGACGCCCTAAACAAGTAGGAGGGTGCAGCACTGCTGCCGTGCCGCAGCGCATATCCACGGTGCTGCCAGCAGGTCAGAGAGAGGGCAGAGCAGCACACACATCAGCCTCTTCACTGCTCAGATCGGTGATTCGGTGCCTAAAAACAAAGCCGGCCATGCAGCCCCAGCAAACGTGCGCTCTGACTGAGGCCAGGCACTGGACTCCCCACTCTGGGCAGCCACAAGCGGAACCCTTTTTAGAGGAAGCGCAGAACAAACAGCACGGGGGAGGCCAGGTTTTAAATCGGGCTGGCACAGGATGGGCAGGAGAGCCAGCCAACGCAGCTTTGTCGGGAAGCTGCACTCCACCCTGCCATCGCGGCAAGGGCGAGGAGACAACGCCAGCACCGCCAGCCCCGCGGCATCCCCAGAGCAGCGGCAGCCCTCAGACCCGCGGCACCGCCCGAACGCACGAGGAAAGCCCGGGTCCCGACTCTACCCGCGCGTGCCAAACGCAGCGACGTCCCCAAGGCCACAAGCGGGCAGCCTCCCATCGAGCCGCCGGCCCCGGCCCCGGCCCGGAAGGACGCGGACGCGGCCTCTCCGCCCCCCCCGGTTGAGGTCGCGCTGCCAGGGGCAGCCCCTGGGCCGGGCCCCGTTCGGCGCACCGCCGCGCGCGGGCTGAAACGGAACCCGGGCGCCACGGCCCAACGCTCCGCACTCACCGCCAGCCCGGGCGCGCCGCCGCCGCCGCCACCGCGCTACGGCGAGCCGCGAGGGCCACGCGAAAGGGCGGGCGCGTTGCTGGGAGACGGGCGGAGGCGCCGAGCGGACCGCGCTCCGCACCCGCAGCGTGAGTCCGCGCGGGGCGTCCACGGATGCGCGGCGGCCAGCGAGAGCCGGAGAGGGAGGGAAAGCGTCCAGACGACCCGGCCGGCGGGGGATGGCGCGGGGACACCGGCCGGAGAGCGCTGGGTGCGCGGCGGAGTGCGGCCGGCGGGCCCGGAGCGGGCGTGGGAAGGAAGGTTTGGAAAGCTGGAATTAGACGAGGCCGCTAACGCGCCGTGTTGCGAGAGCGAAGGGGGCTGCGACCGCG